AAGTAAAAAAATAATAAAAAATAAAAAAACCAAAAAGAGACCACAAGAAAAATAAAAAAAAAAAAATTTTTTACCAAAAAAAAGGGGGGGGGGGGGGTCGACTTTCTTGACCCCCTCCCCCACCATAGGTACCTGATGTTGCAAAGTCGATAGTAAACTTAAGACCTAATTAAACAACAATAATATCAGTTTTGTCTCAGTATGTATTGATTGTATAAATTTTCAGTGCAAGTTTTCACTATTCAATCAGTATCCAGATAAATAAGAAAATGGTAGTTGGAGAATTGATATAATTATCTTATGATGTATAATCGTGAGTAATAAAGGACTTATAATTCTGTAGGTAAAGAATAAACAAACTTATTTTGGCAATTACAATTGACAATAAAACTACATTTACCACATTGGCAGTAGTAAGTGTTATGTTTTTGTTGCCACAAGTTTCTAGATTGCATCATGATATTAGTGAAAAATGCCAAATTATTATGTAGTAGATTACTGCACAAGGATGATAGTCAGATCCAAACACCTCCAGGGTCCCTAAAAGTACATTGATTGTTTGGTGACAATTGCTCCAATGGACACACACAGACATTGTAAAATAATAGTTTAGAGTAAAGAGATACCTTGATATCAAGAATAAGACAGTTTTTGTAATTTCGAGGATCTTGAACATTATCTTTAAAGAACTGGCTTGTATTGCTTTCTTACACACTGTAAGAGTGATCTTTAAGATCTGGACTCTTGTATTTCAAAATGACCTAGAAATTAGCTTTACAACAGCTAGATTTATTGTACTCTTGAAATATAAAATAACACTGACAAGAATATACAAATGTTACTTAATCCAGTGAGATTCTCATACCTGTGTACAACATATACACTTTTACAAAATACTTCTACTGTAATTATAGCTACATGTTACAATTAGCCAGGAGAAAATTTAAAGGCCTTACCTTAAGGTCCTAAGAATATGCAGTTGTATTCACCCAAAGATCTAATCACAAAATAAGATCAACCTGGTTAGAGTGGCAACCATTCTTAGCAGACAATGAGCATTACACAAAAAATTCCTTGAGAAAGAGAACCCATGGAGAAAATAATCACATACAATGACTCGTATTAAAGTTCAAGAACCAAAGGGAAACAGTTTACCTTCAGGCAACAGTAATATCAGGGAAAGAAATTGAGTTTAAAGTAATATAATATAAAGAGATCAAAAGGAATCCACCATTGAGATAAGCCCAGAATCATGGATGAAAAGTTCCAAGTTCTTAAATAAAGGAACTTTCTAACTTGGATTAAGATCATCCTCTTCTATCATAAAAAAATGAGAAATAATAACAGAAAAAGTTACCCATGAAGTGGTAAGTTCACAACAGGCATACCAGGACCTAAGTGAAACTACAGTATCAACTGGCTAAGGTCAGCCATCCAGAAACTAGTTTTGACAGTGACCAGAGCTACTCGAGATGGGATTTATAAACTTTAACTCTAAAGCTATTATCAGCTGACTTGCTTCTTTATACAGCTGGCCACAAAGCAAGTCAGTATTGTTTACACTTTCACCAGTTGGTAAAAAAGTCAGACACGGAAGAATATATGGAGGAACTACCAAACCACCACCATTACCTCCAATAACTCTTCGTGACTTCCATTTTGGGGAAGGATGTTTTAAGAACTTAATAGCCTGTAGGCTGTAACGGATCTTTTTTTTTTTAAACTGTACAAACCATAATGTCTGTATTTGGCTTTTAAAATCTACAAAGAAAAAAATATCTTAGTAGTAAATAGAATCATATGTAGATGATCTTGAAGGCATGACAGCAGTCTAATCTCGTACTCCAACTTGTACCATATTGCAAGCTGAACAAAAATGTCTACTCACACTTATAATACCAAATAAGTGAGTTCTTAGCTAATGATATATAATGAAATGTGTGTGAAGTCACTTTCCTTGTTAAAAATGTTGTATGTAATTATAATTTTTTAAATGATCATTGTCCTCACTATGAGATTTTTGACTAAACGAGCAGTTTATTTATGCCTGTTACATGTTTCTCTTACAGGTGCAATTTATACCGTTATACTTTTTTAATTTTATTTTACAAACTTATGATTTGAATGGCATATAAAAATCAATTTTCTTCTTGTAATGTTTGTCATATCACATGGGAGAAGTAGTTTTGTGAGGGTGATATCACCAAAAGTTCTTTCTCCCATGCTGCCAACATCTCTTTTAATATTTTGACTGTCAGTACCAATTTTATTTATGTTCACATTATTCTTGTATCAATCAATAGTTGTCATTGCAATTTCTTGGTCATGTATTTGGGGTTCATCAGGACAGTACAACAACATTTCAGAAAATCTCATCTTACAACTGGTTTTAAAGTCTGTACATTAAAACAGATCATAAATTAAAAATCATGTGCTTAGTGGTACACAAGGTAGCCCTGTATGTCTCTAGCACATTAATACTGTGGCGGCAACTTTCCTATTGGAAAAAAACTCATTCCATCAGCCATCTGATAGTGGTTGAAACTATGTTGTCCTAAAAATATAACTTTAAGCTCATGTAACCTACCAATAAATACTTTAGAAGATTGACTGGTTTTATCAAAGTTAAACCACAAATAAGCTGATGTAAAGTTCTGTGAGCTTAACCACAGGCATCCGCTAAAATTTCTAAACATTCAAACATTCTCGGAAATATTTCTTCATGAAATTTCTCAAATCCTACGGTGAGCCTAGGGGATTTCCTTTTCTTCATACAGATGGTAAAAATTAGCAACTACGTTATGGTTACTTGATCCTTCATTCATAAAACAATCCATCTAATTCTTAACCAAATTACAGTTGGTGCAAGGCACCTTCAAGTTGTTGATTGTTGGGGAAGAATTTCCAGATCATCTCTTTGCTGTGAGATTGAAATACCTATACAATCTGCTACCACAGATCAGAGGTGAGCATTGAGACAGTTGTTTTTGTTTTGTTTGGCCTAGTTGCAAACATAATGCCACATAGAGTTACTGTCTATCCAGCTTGTGTCCTTAGACAATTTTAATTATAATTGTGTGTGTGCATATATATATATAGTAGTGTCAACCCACAATTCCAAAGCATTACTGGTCCTGGTCAACCTGTTAGCCAGACAGTGGTCATCCTGTTGAGCTGCTCAGAGTTGAAATTTGTCAATCAACTCCACTATGATCACAGAAGATCTTTTGATACCTAATTCAGCCTTTAGGACTCCTGGTGCAAGACCTTGCCTGTATGGAGGCATTATCAAGTCCTTACTCAGTTTGTCTGCAAAATATTTATGCCGAGGATGCCAAGCTCAGATTGAACAAGATAACTCTTAACTCACTACAGTCTCATCTGATCTTTTTGTTTCCCTTCCATACATTAAATAAAAAAGAAAAAAAAACAGTGCTGTATGTTAATAACAGTTCATCCAAATGTT